TGTCTCAGCGTTTCCTAAAAATGTCACTGTACCAGCAGAGCCGTCCAAAATACTGAGAGGATCAATTTTACATGTTTCCGCGTGGCTAAAGGGCCTGAAAAAAACTATCGATCACACATCCGTTTCATAATGACATGTTCAAGCCAGCACGTATATTGAAGTAAAGAAGCTTGAGGCATCGTTATCGTTTGGTGAAAGATACGACTAAAAATTTAAGTATGGTAGATGAAGAATCATCAAGCCCGTCGATAAAGTGCACCAGAAGAATTTGTTTAACACTCGCGTTTTCCAGCTTAACAGTGAGTGTGATCATCTTCCTGATAGTTGTATTTTTGTTTGAATATTGCCCGCACTGCCAGGAGCGTTTTCGCGACAAAAACGAGTCGTATATAGTTACAATTTTGGGGACTGTTGCCACGTTACTGTTCTTCCTTGGAGGTAGCATATTGACAGCGTGTTGGAGAAGAGGACAAAACAGCACATCTGAAGCTGTACCTCAAGTTGCCATCTCTTTGATTCCTGACGAAGATTTGGAAAAGTCACCCGCTCCTATACTGCCTTATAATCACATTCCTCGCCATCAGCCAATTGTTATGAAAACCTGTTCGCAGGATGTGCCTGGTTATTCTACAGTTGTCAAAAATATTGATGAAGTTTATTCGTCTGTGAACGCGAAAGATGTCCCTGAAACTCCGCCACCGTGTTACGAGGAAGCTCTTAAAATGAAAACATTAGCTGTTACTGTAAACGTAACCGACACGTATATTTCACAACGAGGAAATACCGAAGGTACAAGAGTATAATCTACAAAGTCATTTTTTTAACCCATCTATAGTTCATACAGTCTGATATGAAAAAGCGACTGAAATCTTAAGAAATATCACGGGCAAAGATCGATCGACAGGGTTTGCCCAGTCTCCTGCGATTTTAAAAGGAGCCAGAAAGCGGAAGTTGGACTCTGCGTGACGTCACATGAGGGTCATAGGCAACATCCTGTCTGAACAAAACCGGAGACCGAGGTTATATTTATAACCTGAAAACTGTCTTTCCTTTTAAACAAATAGAGATTGATTTAACTTGAATCGTTTTAAGCAACTTTTGCTTAAGTGACGTCATTCCGGTAACTACATACTTGTTATTTGACCATTGTGACGCACATGTGACAGCTCAGACACGTATCACGCACCTCTGCAAAACAACAACGTGAAATGACCAAATTCTGCGTTGTCTGGAGAACGTGAACCACAACGGCTAATTTTTCGTGTTTCTATTTGGAACTGAACGCCTTCGCAGCATATTCAGCAGCGGCAAGTTTTAATACCGACAGACACACTGGAAAGTTCCAAATAAATGCGAAAATCCAAAGTAAAATAGAAACACATATTTTACTAGGCGTCGTCCTCGCCGTCGCCGTCGTAGATGCGTAAGGTCCCTATTAAGGTCGACATGACTGTGTTATCAGACAGGGAATTACGCACGTGAAGAACTCAAAATTTGGTTTAGTTTAGTAACCAAGTCCAAGGTTTCTGACGCCATCTTGTTTGGGGGCAAACACAGCAAAAATTGCAGTAAATGTATGAGAAATGTTAAATGTTTGATGTCCAATAATTTGAGAGTGACTGACTCTCTGAGTATTTTAAGAGTTACAAAGGAACAATACCCAGCAGAAGGCTTTTTTTGTCAAATTTCAAGAACAAAGATTTGTTGTGAGGCGAAGAATTGCACTTTTAATTTTTTATACAAATGTCTCTAAATTTTCCCCCGCGAATTGCGACTCGGTCTTACAGACAAATGTATGGAAAAATGAAAACCTTAGTTGTGGCTTTTCTAGCGAGGCCATTTATCTCAAATGCGATCAGTAAATTCAGTTATCTAGTATCTCTGGTTTTTATTCATAAATACTTCAGAACTCTAATTTTCCGTGAGTTGTGAATTAGGTATTAGGTTCTTCATTTTCCTCATACATTAGCTGTAATTTTTGCCGTGTTTGACCCC